GTTTGGTGCGAGAGAATAGGAACACCTAGCCGAATCGATAAACTCGATTAAAAAGCAAACTATACAACAAAAAAAAAACTGTTTTCTTCCCAAAATATGTATTGTCGATACAAAATGTTACAACACTACCCAATACTGCATTATGATAAACCAAATCCCTGGAGATATATGTATTTTTATGTTTCTCATTGCTTTTTATTGCGCTTTTTCCTTATTCATAAGTATAAGAGCGCCAGCTATGCGCCAACAAAAACTCATCACGCCAACCAGTAGTCCATAGGGAATTTTAGATTGCTTAAAAGGACGTCACACGTAGCTGTGCACTATGTTGACGTGTAAATCTAAAAGTCCCTAATGTTTTGATCAAGGTCCATCACAATCCTAACGACATGAATAAGAATAGGTCGGTTAATCTAATTCTACCATTGATTAACCCTGCAACTCTTTTCACCAAGAACGGACGCCCAACGGACCGGAAAATTCGCTCTATCGGCTATCTATTTTTTTAGGGCTCACTAGACTACTAAACAGCAAATTTCGGTCTAGGGGCTTGCAACCTCTTGGCCTTTGGTTTCATAGACCTACCTATCTTGATTCCCCCTTTATTTTCCTTCTTCTTATCATTATTATTCCACTTCTTCTTCTACTACTTCTCCTCTTCCTCCTCCTCCTCCTCCTCCTACTTCTTCATCTTCTTCTTCTTCTTCTTCTTCTTCTTCTTCTACCTCTTCTTCTACTTCTCCTCTTCTTCCTTCTTCTCCTCCTCCTTCTCCTCCTCCTCCTCCTCCTCCTCCTCCTCCTTCTTCTTCTTCTTCTTCTTCTTCTTCTTCTTCTTCTTCTCTTCTTCTTCTTCTTCTTCTTCTTCTTCTTCTTCTTCTTCTTCTTCTTCTTCTTCTTCTTCTTCTTCTTTTATAATGGATCTTCACATAGCTAATGGAATTATTCAAGTGCAGTGGCGTCGGTTGCATGGTTCTTTTGATATTGGGAATCCTTGCGTTCCTATAGGTTAGACCATTTTAATTAACCCCTCACAAACCAAATAAGGACCCCCTCTCTCTCTCTCTCTCTCTCTTTAACGAAATTAAATGAATAGATAATGAGTTAATTAACTGATTAAGACATAGTGACGAATAAGATAAAGGAAGGGAAAAAAGAAAGAAAATAAAGTTTTCAGGTGCAGATTGGTAATCGGAGAGCGACCCGATGCTTGCCACGGGCTCTCATCAAAATGGTCATATGAATAGAGTTGAAATTGGGTTTTAGGTTACTATAGGGTTAGGTTTAGCGTCGGTTATAGTTATACTGGTCCAAGATTACCATTAGGAAGTCAGTTGATGAAGGAAATAGATCATTTGTGGAAGCATGTGAGTCGTCGAGCCATCGGAAGATGTGGAAGTTTTTCTTTCTTTCTTTCCTTCTTTGATCGGTATTTCGCCAGGAGGATTGGTTGGATATTGGTCTGGGCTCTACAGGGTCGATTGATCCATGTATGGTGGGCTGGATGCCCCTAGAAGATCCAAGGCCCAATTTTAGTCTCAAGCCCCTTCATGCATTCCTTTTTCTTGATAATTGATCAGAATCCATAATGATACAACGGGAACAGGATTTGATCAAACCAGAGGCTGTTGACGAAAATAATAGTTTCCTCAGCTAGGGAATGAATCTCGACTAACGATAAAAGGAAGTAGATGAGAGAAAAGAAAGAAATTATTTCAAAAGTTGAATTTGGAAGGGAAATTACCAATGGAACTCGTCTCATACCCAGATAGAGAAAGAGGATGATTTTGCAATGATGGCCACCTATATCATCAGAAGAAGGGATAGAGATAGTCAGTAATGCCCGATATTATTGGGGGTAATTTCTTCCCTAAATTGTATTTGTCTCCATCTTTTCTCTCCCTCGATAGTTTGTGCAAATACAACTGCTCTTGTTGGGGGTCTCGGCCAATTTGCTTTGCGGATCAATGCCACCCCTTCAATTTAGAAGGATAAAAAGACAACTCAAAGATGTGCACTGATTGTACAAACATGTCGTTACCACTTGGTGTATCCTTTTGTTTTCCGAACAATACGTTGGAAAAGACAGACAGGGAAAAGACTTTGCATTTCAATGCCTTTAAAGAAGTTGAATATAACAGGTTAATTATCAAAGGGTGCGTGGACGACGGTCATTTGGTTTCGATTGTCATAGTCTTGTGAATATCTCCTCTCCTTTGTAGAAGACTCATAATATTACTTTTAGTGGTAACAAAATCTTCCCATCCAATTAATCTGTAATTTCCGAATTTGTATAATTTTCCTACGTATCTGTTTTTTTTTTTTTCTTCTGTAATTATTTCCAGTAGTGGGGGAGGGGATTAAGCCGCCCCCTAAAAAAAACTTCTACAATCGCTTCTATTTGTTTGCTTTTTATCTTTCTTTTTTTCCCTTTCTTACTCGTCCCATCTATTTCTCTCTCTCTCTCTCTCTCTCTCTCTCTCTCTCTCTCTCTCTCTCTCTCTCGCTCTCTGACTCCGTTTATTCTATTTTACTATCTTTCCTTCACTGACTCTTTCTTTTCTTTATCTCTGAATGTTCTTTCTTCTTCACATCACAATACAGTTTGTGACATTTTGAAGTCGTATCTAGAACAGATTGGATAGAATTCTACATTATTTTGGTCAGCCCATGACAACCTATACTCCTATAGAATACAGCTGTCATTCATGAGTGCTCTGCCTTTTTCTGCTCAGAAAGAAACCCTAGAACTTCTAAATCCTTGTCTCGCATTTGCCGTCTTTTCTGTATATACATGTAACTGTTCACCTGGTAGTTGTTTGAGCAAACTTTATTTTCAAACTCCCTCCTTTATTCCGATTAATACTCGACATTAGTACGGTTGATGGTCTGCCGGGAAAGTGATAGGTCCATTCAGCGTATTATATGTCATTTAATTTGTCATTATGGCAACACATGTTGAAGATAATGCTCCGTATTTGTCACTTTCATACATTTGTTGGAAATGTGTTTTTCTTGTTACATCTCGGTTTATCGAAGTAAATCGATTGCCAGTGTCCTTCAAATATGACAGCTGTACAAGAAAACATCCCGCGGGACTAACTTTTAATGCAAGTTATCCTTTAGAGGCTCTCCATTACTCTATGAATGTGAATATTTTGTGTGCGTTAGTATGGCGAGAATTATCATTACGATTCATCACACTAGCCAAATTGTTTTGAAAAAATACATATGGTTTTAGTTTCTCAAAAATGCAGATTATTCCATACAGGTTATTCTAGAACGACAGCCCATGAGGCCGACAAAACAGAGAAATATAAATCGGAAAATGTCGGTCATGTGAGCTGCCAGTTTTGTGGCCTCTGTGTAGCAGCTAGAAGGCCGACGAGACCGACAATGTCATTCTTGTAGGCAAGAGCTTCTCAAATTCCGGACAGCCAGGGAGAGAGTCTCCCATTTCCTTATTTTAAGGAAAATACGGAATTTTGAAAGCCAATGAAATTTAAAAGAAATTGAAGAAAAAAACAAGGACAATTAAAAGGAATGTATGAAAAAGTGAACTTTTTCTCTCTCGTATCTCTCGTATCATTTTATTAAGCTTTAGAAACAATGGCGGATCCATTAGTAGGCCCGGCCCAATCGGCTGCCCCCCCCCCCCACCCCCCCCCCTCCTTGCACGGCGGCCTTAAAAAATAAAGTGGGACGAGAGAGCGACGGAATAAAAATGACAAAAGATAGAGAAAAAGAAAAAGAGCGGAAAAGGAGAGAGAGGGAGTGGGAGAGCGAGAAGAAAAGAAATTAATAATTGAAATTAAGAATCGCTACTCTGATTAGCTGGTCGGTAACGTATTGGATAGGATGGTAGCAAAATCTCAAATTCAATCTTTTCTGTGTTTCATGTTTCTACCAGCAACCTTAAAATTCAGTAGGCAAGCTTTCGTCCATTCCTGTAGACTTTTGATAAATCACATAATATCTTGTTTTCTGCTGCCTCAAGTTTACAGGAGCTTTTTTATTCAGATGAATTCGTTCACCTTTCTTGACCAGAAGGGCCTTTCAAACTCAATTATGTCACATCATCTATATTATTTAAAAATTGTTGTTGAGATAGTGAAAAACTAAGTATCAAATCTGAAAGAGTTTACAATTTAAATGACAAAATCATCTTTGTTTGATCAAAATCGGTTCAGAGACGGCTGAAATATCCATAAATATAACCATTTCTATTGTGGTGCCCCACACATTATTAGGTTATTTTGAACCAGCTGTTGAAAAAAACGAGAAAGCGCCTGATATCAGGCGCTTTCTCGTTTTTATACGTACGTACGTATACGTACTTTTATTCCAGCCTTTTTGTTGTATTTTCGTCTTGGTTATAATACGCACAACCAGCCGGCCCGTGTATTGTTATTATTAATTCATTAATTAATTAACGGTCACCGTATTTCGCTGAAAGTGGAGCTGAGTTAGTATATTCAATCTAAATTAACACATTTTGGGGTCTAAAATTAACTTTATAGCAATTTTGGGTTCTAAAATGGCACTAGAAATGTCTTAAATAGGAATAAGAGCAATAACAATGCACTTTAAAGACATTTGCGGTCTTAAACAAGATCTCAACTATCTATTTGAAACGCCCTACTGGTCAAGAAACGTGAAAGAATTCATCTGGATAATATGTCATTAGATGCTGCTTGTAAGTGTTGGCTTACATGGTGATGTAGATATACAGTAGGCTTGCGGGTGCACAATGTCATTGTTACCTTTCTCCTCTCCAGTGATCTCGAGGCGGCAGAATAAAAAAGTGATTGTGATCTTGAGTTTATGAAACGTCCTTCTGGTCAAGAAAGGTAAAAGAATCCATCTGGATTAAGAGGATTAATCCTTCACTGAATGACTATGTCATTGTCACCCATCTTCCCTCCAGTGAACTCGAGGCAGCAGAAAGAAAATGTTTGAATAATCACTTGGCTTGAGAAAAACCACAAGAGTAGACAAAAAGCTTGGTTACTATATTTAGAAGCTAAAGCTTGTAATTACCCCAACAATAGGGCCATTAGACTTGCAACCAAATGTGTCCATTTATAACGATCAAGACATTGCTAAAATTCGAGAGCGTCCTTGGGGTCCGCCCACGGGACCACGGCAGTGGCCCCTTTTAAAAAATCACGGATCCGCCACTGACAAATTTATAGTTTTACCCATTTCTTCTGAATTAAGTGTCAGTTTTTGCAGTTTAAAGTTACTAATCTGGTACTGTGCGACAAGTTGTATGACTTTTAGCGCGTTTATCTAGGCTTGCCACTAGATATGTACATATCGTACCCCACTATCGAACCCCACTATCATACCCCACTATACGATCGTGATTTGCGGGATGTCGCGTTTATCTACTCTTCACGATTCAAAATAAAGGCCTTGTGTCTGCCCAGCTGTTTTGACCCGGGAAGCAGACAGTTTCTCGGAGGTCAAATTCACACACATGCTTGTACACAACACCTGTGTGGTCCTATTTGTATGTGACGTTCAAAACAGCTTTGCGTTTATCGACCTCTCAGAAACGTGATTCTGGCTGTATGTCACATACAAAACGCACCTTTTTGCGTCTTTTGATATGCCCATATCCAAAGACGTTTGAAAAAGGCTTTGCGTTTATCTACTTCTAAATTTGCCTGAAAGACGTTTGAGAAACCTGATTCTAGCCAAAAACTTCCTAGATAAACGCAACCTTTGATATCCCTGTTAACAATTCCCCTAGATCAGAAATAGACCCTAAAACAAGCCTCATTTTTTTCAGTACCCAACTGTCATTACTGTAAATTTAGGAGTAGATTTTCTGAGTATGACACAAAATTGCACCCACACAAAAACGGAATTGATTTCCTTGAGATATTCTTTACATTGGTGTATTGAAAAAGTAACTCGGCCCATATGTCAATTTTCACATTGGCCACGCTTTCCTTCTTTTTGTCTTCCAATTTTGGAGAAATAGAAATCAGTGCCAAGAAAATATCCCGATCATCGTCATCAGGTTGAACTCTATTTATATCAGTCACAGATCAATTTTTCGTTTATTGAACCAAACAATGAATTCAAAAGACTATTTTAAACCTGTAATGATGGTCATAAAACTGACAGCCACTATTTTGTTTTCATCTCTGGTGAGTACATCATTAAACAAATTTATTTGTGCAAGGAATAGGTGATATACGAATGGATCATAATTTTTATTTTATTCATATCTCAGGATTCTCTTATCTTATACGTCCAAAGTGGAAGAATTTTCACTAATATGTACACATCTTTATTCGTACCTTCTAAACACCATACATATATTTGGAATATACTGACAGAACCAACAACAACAACAAAATACACACTCACAACAACAAAAAACGAAAATATTATCCCCAACAAAATGATCTCATTCAAAATTTAAAATATTTAGTCAACATTTCCAGAGGTTTTATCACGTAGTAAAGTTCGAGTGATCATCGTTTGTGCAAACACTTTTTTGACTGCCTATAATTATCCAATGAATACCCAAAGCGTATCTTGTATAGGCGGAAGGCAATGTTAGGAACCATTAACACGATAAACGCATTATTACATTTTGCTAAGTTTAGAATATTTATTGTAACATTTGGAAAATACAAGATCTTACGTAATGAATTAATTTTGTTACCAGATATTCCTGTATTTATTGAAAAATGAAATACAAAACATTCAAAGAACAATAATAACATATAACATAATTGTGACAATTGGAATATCAAATACCGTGATACATATATATAATTAAAAACTTGAACGTATGGAGGTAAATCAAAGAAGCAAGATAAATGCAGAGGCTAACTATCATAAGCATGAGTTCTTGAATCGTTAGCAGCCGCTACGGGGGGGGGGCACATGACACATAATAGGTAGGAAAACGGAGTGTCAAGTATACAATATTTTTTTCAGGAAGTATCTAAAAAAAGAGGTTTCAAGAAAGAAAAGAAAAGAACAAGAAAATTGCAAATGTGTGCATGTGGGTGTGTGCAGGTCAAGTAAGCATTCGATTCGTTTTGTTCATGATCTGGTCATTAGGTTCTGGTAGTCATCTTAAATGTTTCACGAAATGTAGTTCACACGACTGAGGAGAGCAATATTTGACCCGTTGCATGTGTGGCATCATTTTGCTGACATAAGACTGCGTTAGTGGCTGGCGCGGTCTTAATATTTGATGCAGAATCACAGCATTTTTAGATTTCATTTTTCTCACATTTCCTTGCCATCATAGTAGACATTTATTGCTGTCCCTCTGCTCTCACTGTACCTACATAAATCATCCAGGGCTACAGCTGGTGTTCTCTCTGTGCTCTTCTCTACACCGTCTAACCAATTCAGAATCCATTGACGCGCCTCAGCATCCTGATCATCGTCGAGATCATACACCGTTTCATTATCGTCTCCGACCAGCTCTAATTCATTCTTGGTGATTGGAACAAATCCGCGATTGTGGTTGACCGGTTGTTGGTCAATACGTCGCGGCTTGTGTCGTGTTTCCGCGACGACCTCGATCGGCTTTCGGTGACGCTGACGTTGGTCATCTTTTGTTATCTTAGAAGAACTGATTTTATTTTGAGTGTCCGTGGTGGTCCGACTTCGATTACAACTTGAGGATTGTTCTCCTCGGCTATGGTCAGCTTGGAAGTGGATTGCTCCGTCGCTTCGACGCCGAAGTGCACCCGGGCGAGAGCTCTGCGGGTAGGGTGACAGCGGTCGGGGTTTAGACAATATACTCTGGGATAAACTTTCACGCTGAAGTACGTTTGAATTCTGATCAACCCTATCTTTTTCATTTGATGACTGTTCGTGGCTTTTTTGGATGGGAATTGAGAATTCCCTTTTCCAGTCTATGAACGTTTTCGGCGACGTTAGACTAAGGGTACTCGCGGGCAACGACCCCCTTCTGTATCGTCGATTTCGAGCTTGTGCAACGTTTTTCGGCGACGCATCACAGGGCGATGTCGACCACGGAGGCGGCGATGGCGCGAGAATGCCAATGGGATTGGATGGCGAGAGAAGAGACGGTGGACTCGGAGACAAACTCATCGTTGTCTTGCTCCATGGTGACGAATCACGACGTCTGAACAATCTCTGCGGAGTACTCGGCATCGTCTCATCATTGCTGACGACCATTGTGACGACGGAAGAGACGGACAGCTTTGACATAGGGTTATTTAGAACGTTTGTCGATGAATTCTTGTTATTAGGCAGTGGCGGCAGTGTTCCTCTCCTGATGTCGATCATGCCCTCGCTAGCTCGTCGGTTAGGGTTGTGAGTCCGAGGTACTTGCAAGGATGACGATGATGCGTCTGAAAGACCCATTCTGCTCAACTCAGTTTCACCAACAAGGAAGAATCTAAGTTTAAGTGATTTCCAAATCCTTGATTGCTAAAAGCACGATCTTTAATGTTAAAGATCACAAATCAAACTTATGACGCAAACATTTTCAGAATTCTCTCACTGCAATTGTTAGAAGGGTAATACAATAATGACGCTGGATTCCAAAGTACATTATTCCGTTATGATAACTGGCAAAATATCATGGCTTCAATACTTTGATCCAATCTCGCTTTCTCCATTTTGCTACTAATCTTATAAATAAAATCTATTTCACTATTTTTTGTTTGACGGCTGTTTGAGAGGGCAATCACTCGTCCATTTCCCCACTCAGAGTAAAATCATGAACTGAGATGAGTTGATTGACAGTCAAAACTGTTTTTCAAATTGTTCTCCAAGTAGAAAATGATGAATCGGCAAACTCGAGAACAATTTGACGAAACGATGTCGGATCCTCGATTCGTTTTTATCGTCATTAGCCGGAACAGAAACTAAAAATATCCATGATGAAGAAAATATTATGCGTGCCCATCTCCTGGTGACAATTCACATTCTGTTCATATTATTTCATGGAGTCCGACGAGAAAATCACTCTATGAATCAGCAAATTCGGAAGAAGAAATATGAAATTCTCCTTAGTTGAGTTTCATCTTCGTAAAATAGGATCAGGCTGTCGATAGTAATGATGCGTGGTTATCTCATAATACAAATTATTGTTTGATTTAATATCCAAGAGTCTGAAGAGAAAGTTGATTTTAAGCTGTGCACACTGGAAGGAGGAGATATCGAGTGATGTGAATAGACTGAACGTCCTATCTGAGAAGTTGAGACCTTGTATTCTGGTGCAAACACAGACTTCGCTGAAAGGCGCAAGCTCGGTAGCTCCCCAACAAACTTGTCAGGATTCCGTTTCTCATTGGATTGTTTGCTCAAGCGAGAAGACAGAATTGGGGGACGACAAGAAGAGAAAAACGATCCTTTTACGAGCCCTTCAAGCGAGTATATATATACATGCTTAGTGGAAACAATGGACGAACACAAACTTTTTGTTATTCAAAGCATCTCATGAAAGTGTGCTTTATATAAATGGAACAGGACTGTCGTCAATATAGATCACGTTCCTTCGTATAGAACATGAATGTATCGAACCTTTCAAGGTCTTGAAGATTGTCAATTCATTTAAGAAGCCCACCCCCTTCCTCTTTCCCTCTCCCTCTTTCCATGTCTTTATTTTTGTCTTTTGTTTTCTTTCTCTAAAATAATTCATTAAAATAATAATAATGTTGTTTTCTAAACCTTGGCTATAACACCAATGTCAAACTATCTACTTTTACTTTCTACATAAGTTTATTTACATATTTATAATCTTCACAAAATAAAATGAATATTGAATATAAATAATGGTCTTTACTTGAAGCAATCTTTACATGTTTCATATCTTTTATTCAAAGGACATTTTAATTTTCATAACCTAAATAAACAAAGGGAGAGGCAGTAAGATGATTGATATTGCGTTGATGAATTATATATCTGCCTATGGGTCTGATTAACGAAGCGGACATCAGGTTTATAAACCAAGCATTAAATCGGGCACTTTGAGAAGAACTTAAATAACAAACATATTTAAGATACTCATGGCCTTCTTCGAAAATTCTCTACTGAAAGTAATCATTCACTTTCTTCCAAATTAAAGTTGCTATCGTACTACATTTTTGTTGGTGCATAATCGCAACAATGAATACCCACCCGATGTTGCTGTTTTTCTTTGAAGTCTTAACGTTATCGGGAGCATGAAGACAGCATATGAAGACAACGAACAAGACCAAAAAGAAAAGGTATTACAAATTGAAACATGAGAAAAAGTAAAGGATGGAAGAAGAAGATAAAGAGAAAGTAAATGTGACGTGGGGGTTATAATACTCCTAGAAATATACACAGCCTGCGATATCAAAACAATTATTTAACGTTCATGAATCTGAATCATTGTCTAGCATCTTTATCACCCGTAACAACACGTTCCACGCATTTTGGCCTTGATAATGATAACTTTCGCGACATTGTGTATGTAGGCCTACTACCAGGGGCGGTGAGGTGGGAGCAATGTGACACACATCAATTTGAATTTTTGAAGATTTTCCTTTTTTCAATCTTGCAAAGTGGTATAGGCTTTTATATGTTTAAACTTTTAACATTAAATGAAAATGTCAGGTCTTTTTTTTAAAATGGGTGGTGGCTTTAGTATAAAGTTAAAATATTTGTTGTGTCTGCATTGCTGGTCGCTTCGATTAATTATCATCATGGGGATAGTTTCATGATTTATATCAAAGCACATGGACATTACTTTATTTTCCAAACACATTTCCTTTTCGACACCCTTCATTTGTTTCACTGGTACAATAACTCTTTAAATTAAAGATCATAAGTGACAGGGGGTAGGGGCTTACATTTTCTTCACATGATGGGCAAGTGGAGCCCGGAGTCGTCGAATGTTGCGGTTATTGTTCGTTTTAAATGATGTGTGACTTCTCTTTTCTTTAAGACGGTGTTACCTTCCCGCATGACGGTAACATAGTATCGCTATTGCTATTGCAATACACCGTCGTATCTTAGAGACATAATCGCTCCTCTGTTTCCAAATGTGGGCCACCATTTTGAAGACTGAAATGCACACGGTTAAACTTACACTGAACTCTGGTGTGCCGGTTCGGAAGAAGTTGGGTATTTCTAGACAACCTCTCGACTATTTATGAACTGGTAATTAGGTAAACGGTATAATTTGCGGACAGGTGGGGGGGGGGGGGGGGGGGGGGGATCTTGAGTGAAAATAATTTCCCCATGAAACTTTTCCTTTAAAAAGATACAAATTAAAAAGTTTCTACACGTCGCTGTCCATATATGGGATGATGGTTTCTTAGTGATTGTAGCCCGAATATTGATAACTCTAAAATTCTCAGATGACCATGCAATAAGAACGTTATCGTCCAAGAGAGGGTGTTTGTTGCATCTAGAACATTTTAGAATTGAGTCCCATCACATTGCAATTGTGGGGAGGCAGTGGCGGATCCAGGGGGGGGGGGGATCCAGTCAAGCGGCGGGGTG